TCATTTGCGAGTAGTCTGATACTCAGCCTTTGTTTTCTAAATACTACCATTTACCATATAAATTGAAATGGAACTGTTTGGAGAAATGGCTGATTACAGAACTTGGGCAGAGAAAATATGACGTGGGCCTGGGACAGCTTGATGTAAGAAAACAAAGACTAATGGAGTCATCAAAAGGTCACAGAAGAGACCCCCAGTGGCCAAATTTGGGACAATATGAACATCAAAAAGAATAATGATGGCAATTAATTATTACACAAACAAAGATTAAAAAAGGAGGGTGGAGGGCAGGGGAAGATTGTCTTTAGGTGAGAATACCAGCTAATAAATGTGGAAGGAATGATAGAATTTTGCAGTCCCAAATGGAATAATCAAAGCAAGGGCTATCAGTGGATGCTAAGTCTATGGTGAAAAATTATTGGGAAATAGGACAGCCACATGGTAACAAATTATCACCCCCAGGCTTTATTAATATAAAGGGGAACATGTACCTTTACAATAAAGAGATGTGACAATAACCATCTTAACCAAGTAATCAAGCCTAGCATCAATAATAATGGGTTACCCTAAATTTTGTATCTTCTGATATGATGGACCATGAAGTTCACAGTATAAAATATTTTTTCCAATATTGTTTAACTTGTATCTTGACTTAGCTTTGGTTCATAGGAAATATAAGTGATGGGGAAATAAGTTTAATGACACCATGAGGAAATAATCTGACAAATGCCAAATGCGGGACATTCTATAAGATACCTAGGTCTGGACTCTTCCAAAAGACAGTGTCATTAAAAAAAAAAAAAAAAAAAAAAAAGAAGGGGGGTTTTAATCAAAAAAAAAAGTGAAAAAAAAAAAAAAAAAAAAAAAAAAGGCAGCGGGATTTTTAGATTAAAAGATACTGCAAAATTAAGCAACCAAATATAATGGGTAAAACGGAATTGATCCCTGGATTGGGTGTGGATGGGTGGGATAGTGTAAAAAAGACATGGGGTAGGCAACTGATGAAATTTGGACATGGAATGGATATGAAATAATATGGAATTGTTGTTTATCTTCTCGGGGTGGTAATGGTGTTGTAGGTATTTAGGAAAATATCCTCATTCCTAGGAGATGCATGTTGAGTTATTTAGGAGTGAAGTGCTATGGTGTCTGAACTTACTTTCATATATGAAGTTTTATAAATATATAGAGATATGGTTGGCACACAGAAACCCATATGGCAGTATGTTACAGTTGTTGTGTAAATGGAGTGTTCATTGTACTATTCTTTCTACTTCTCTTTTGGTTAGAAATTTTAGAAAATAAACTGGAAAAAGAGAAAGTTCAACGTAAGGAAAACAAAGCAAAAGTCTGATGGTAGGTGGGCAGACAGGTTGACAGGTCCAGCTCTGTCCAGGGCTTCTGTGATGGCATTAGGGCCCACTCCCTCCATCCCTCAACTCTGTTCCTGTACTAGCACAGAGCCATTAAAGGAAGTGTGATCATAGTGTTTTTAGCCAATTTTGGGAAAGCTATGAAAATTTCCAACTGTGATTAATAGAGAAGCTTGTCTTACTCATTTTTAGCATTTCCAGTGTCTGGAACATTGTAGGCATTCGAAACCTGTTGACTGAAAAAATACATAAATAAAGGGGTGACCAAACTTGATGATTGCCTGGAAATGCGAGAGCATACCAGTGATGTTCTTCAAATCCAGTAAATATTTGTGGAATTAAATAGAATTGAATTAGTTAAGGGGCGAATAAGGTTAAGATTGGTTCCAGAAGTGAAGGAAAGTTCTGTTTTTAAATCATCTCTCGTATGCATACAGTAATGACAACATTTCTTTCTTTTTTTTTTACTTTCAGTAATGATACTTTTTTGAATTAATGATCAAAACACTTGAATGGAGGTCTACTGTAGTTTTTCCTATACAGAGGAAAATTTGAGTTTGTTGTGAAATCTTCAGAGGGTAGCATGTGCAATTATGCTTTGTTCCTTGGTGAGCTATGAGTTGGGCACTTAATTATGTAAAAAATATTGCAAGAGAGATGTTGCATAATCCCCAACAGGGTAATTATTGTCTATCTTGGCAGAATGCAAGGCTTTTAATCTGTAAATAAGCAATTCTATGTGAAAGAGCTACATGTAGAGTGGTTCCGTGTTGTAAAGGTCTCTTATGAATTTTTTAAAATGAAAACAGTAACTATGTGCAGTTTGGCTGCTGCCTTTGTACTTCAAAGGGTTTATGATGCTTCCCCTGTGGTTTTAACCCCTCCTGAAATACTTAAGCCTCAAGAAGGATTCCTATAAAGGGTAAAACTATGTCTGGGTTAAGGCCATGAAAAATCTGAATTTTTCCAAAGTCGAAGAAGTAAAATGTGCTTTCTGCAAATTAAAAAACAAACCAAGATGGAAAACAGAACAACAAAATAAAATATTGACAGTGCTTTAAAAAAAAAAAAAAGGCAAAGATGCAATAATTAGCTAATAGATCTCTCACTTATTGGAGGTTAATAATTTTATTTTTACGTGTGCCATTGCAACTACTATTTCCAAAATTCACTTTCAGGATATGTGTGTACTATGCGTAGGTGGATCTGCATTTTAGATACTGAAAGTAAATTCTGTTGGTTGTCTAAGTTGTGATAGCGTCTGCCTTCCCCCTTGTCCCTGTTAGTATCGATGAGCTGAGCATGTTCTTCAAGGTCAGTTTCTCTGCTTGAGCATCAGACCCTTCTCCTTTGCCCACTCAAGGACTTCCTTTGGGCGACTGTCCCTCTCCCTTGCGTGACCATCTTTCCCCTCTATCAAGTTATTCCTGTCAAAATAGAAACATGTTGTAACAGCTTCCATTGTTAAAAAGCCCTTCCTTGATCTCTTTCTCTCTGACTACCTCCTCAATCCTCTGTTCCCTTTTGCAGCAAAACTCCTAAGAATCTATATTCTATCTTTCTCTCTTCCCATTGCCTCTTGAAGCTGCTCTGCTCAGCCTTTCCCCACCCCCACCCTCCACATGGAACCTGCTTTTGTCAAGGTGCACCCATAACCTTCACACAGCCAGATTCCCAGGACAGCACCTGGTCAAAATCTTATTTGAGTAGCAGCAGCAGCTGACACAGCTTATCACCCCTTCTTCCTAGAAACACCTTCTTTACTTGGCTTCAGGAAAAACATGTTCACCTGGTTGTTCTCCTTCCTTACTGGTTCCTCTTTCTCTGCCCCTTTGTGGGCTCCTCCTTTTTTCCTCATCTAAGATGACCTGGCCCCAGGTCCCCTCCTCCCCTCTTCTTTCTCCCAAAGTCATCCCAGATAACATCATGGTTAAAAATGTTTTGTATACTCTAAAGACTCTCAGATTTAAGTCTGGAGTACACACCTGTGTCCTGAACTCCAGACTTGTATATCCAGCTGTCTGCTGCCCTGTGTCCCATTGGATGACTAATAGGCATCTCAAATTTAAGAGTCAAAATTGAACACCTGGACTTCCCATGGCTGTCTCTCACCCAGATTATTGTAATAGCTTCCTGTCTGGTATTACTGTCTCTAGTCTTGCTCCAGCCCCTTTTGATCTATATTCAAAAAATAAAACAAAACAACAACAACAACAAAGAAGCTCTGAAGAAAGAGCAGTAGGAACTGTTGCAGTCCAGAAGGAGATGGAACTGTAGCTGGGCTGGGAGTTAGAATAGAAAAGGGAAAAGAGAGAGGCTTATTGGCTAGAGGAACGACAAAGTTCAAGCATAGAGGCAGGAATGAACATGGAGTAACGAGCACCAACAAGGAGAACAGCCTGACTGCAATGGTGGGGCACGTTATAGAGGGCCTTAAAAGCTCAGCTAAAAGTTTGTACTTGCTATGTCTGTGCATATTTTGTATATGTGAGAGGGACCTGTTTACAAACCTGCACTTGAAACTCTAGGACTGTGCTGTCCAGTATGACAGCAACTAGCCACGTATGGCTATGGAACACTTGAAATGGGGCTAGTCTGAATTGAGATAGGCTGTTAAGTGTAAAATGTATACTAGATTTCAAAGATTTAGTACTAAAACTAATTTCATTTAAATGTTTTATGTTGATCATTTGTTGAAATAGTAGTATTTTTAATATAGAGTTAAGTATTATTAGAAAAAAAATAAGCTGCAAGGATATCTTGTATAGCACACAGAATACAGCCGTATTTTTTTTAACTTTAAATGGAGTATAATCTATAAAAATTTTGAATCACTATGTTGTACACCTGAAACTTTATTGACGTATAGTTTTAAATCAACTATACCTCAATAAAATTTTTTTAAAGAAAGAAAAACAAAACTTTTAAAATATCAGACTCTGTCCCAAGGCCTCCAATGACTTCCCATCTCATTTAGAGTAAAAGCCTGTCCAACAGGGTCCTTCATCATCTGACCTCATTGCCTTTCCAGCTCACTTCCTGCCTTGCTCCTTGTCATCCACTCTGCTCTACCCACATTGGCCCCTTCCTCAGACGTAACCTCAGAAGCTTCTGCCTCAGGTCCTTGGCATGGGTTGCTACTTTAGTCTGAATACTCTGTCCTGTAATTCTGCATGGTTGGTTCTTTACCACCTTCAAATCTCTTCTGCTTATCTGTCCCCTTCTCACTGACACCTTCTCTAACCATCTCGCTGAAGCTCCCCACACCTCACCCAGCACTCCTGATCCCTGCTCCTGGCTTTATTTTTCTCTATTGCACTTATCACCATATGAAAATAAAAATATTTACTTTTTTGTTTTTGTTGCTGAGTTTGTTCTTGTCTGTCTCCTTTTATTAGGATGTAAGTATCCTGAGGGCAGACTTCCGTCTGCCTTGTTCACAGCTGTGTCACTGGTGCCTGGGAGAGAGTGGGTAATCATTTAAGTACTGATGAAGGAGTAATTGAAAACAACCTGAAAAGTGGATGGATTCTTCGTTGGCATTTCCCCAGCATTCTGGGCGTGACAGAGGATAGGTAGCATTCAGAATGATTCGCTATATACTAATAGCTGTTTCCCATTCCTCAGTTTCTCTGTTTGAAGAACATAAGGACATTCCTCACGGCCTGTTGCGAGACGTTTGGAATGAGAAAGAGTGAACTCTTTGAGGCGTTTGACTTGTTTGATGTCCGTGACTTTGGAAAGGTAATTACATTTTATTTTTCATGTATTTTTAAACTCAAGAACATTTTATCAAATAACTGTTGTTTCTTATCTTGAAGTAGGACATGTGACTGAAGTGGTATCTGCATTATGTAGTTAAATTTTACATGTAGGTGGCTTAGCCAAAAAAATAATACCAACAACTGTCCAAATGAGATTAGAATTATTATTTCTTTTAATTAAAGCAGTATAAGGGGAATTTTTTTATCCAGAGGTAACTTTTCCTGTTGGTTATCTTGGAGGACAGGACTACTATTTCCCATCTTTTAGATAGTTCGTTGGGCTGTCATGACTGAGGACCAGTATTCTTTCCCTCCAGTCTTCTCCAAACCTGAAAGGCCTCTAATTTTTGGAAGTTGAGAATGTTCTGTTGCCTGTTTTGGCATTTGGGTAGGTGACTTGCAGAACACATGAAATCGCTGAAATGTTTGAGATTGTTGAGTAACTCCTATTGCTTGGATTTCAGCAGATATATGTTAGATTGTTAGATTTCAATGATATTTGTCACATGTAAATTGGTTTTAATGTTTGCTCTTATTACTTATATGTACACCAAGCACTTGTGTATAATAGGTGACTTCCTTTCAAAAGAATCAAAAGTAAAAGGATAGAAATCAAGCTTTTAAAAGTTACATTCATTTATTTTGAAGTGATTGGGCACAAAGTTAAACTTCTTGTGTCTGAGAAGCCATAAAAGAGTCAGGCAGTTAGGTAACCCCTGATGTCATAATTGCATTATGAAAATAAGCAGGGAAAAACCTAAAAGATCTTGAGAAGTTTGCTCTTACTCTGATAATTCAGGTGCTAGTATCTCATCAAAAGGCTGTTTGAGAGTGACACTTCATTTGATTTTTAAGATGTAATATTTTTTATTATACATCTTTGTTGGAGTATAATTGCTTCACAATGCTATGTTAGTTTCTGTTATATAACAAAGTAAATCAGCCATATGCATACGTATATCCCCATATCCCCTCCCTCTTGAGCCTCTCTCCCACCCACCCTATCCCACCCCTCTAAGTGTAATATTTTTATTATAAAATAAAAAGCAAGCAATGGATTAGTTTGCTTGGCAATGGGAATAAATAGCACAAACTTGAAACAGAAATGTAAAAAATTTGATGCTGACATGCAGCAAGTATGGGGAAGCCAACCTACCCAGGGAGAAAGAAGGCGTGGGTTCGCTCTTGGTCACTCCGTGATCTGGACTTCAGCAGTCTTCTCCATCATCAGACCACCTTCCCGCTTAGAAGTCTGTACAAAAGGAAATGGGTATAAAGATATGGTTTTTAGGATTCCTCTTTCTCTGGCCAGCTGTGATTTAGTTGTCTTGAGGTCCAAAAAAGTGATGGAGGATAACATATGGTGATAGTTACAAGGAACTGAAAACCAAGCCTCCTTGTAAAGAAGTGGTGGCACATTTGTCTATGGCCATGAAGTGAAGCCATGAAGACAAAGAGCAATCAGAGAGAATCCCAGGTGAAGTGGACAGTCCTCTAAGCTGTTGGCCCAGAAAAATGCCTTAATAGCTTATAAAGATATCTTTTGCTGTTCTTTGACCTTTCCTCCTAGTTTTTAAAAAAAACTTCTTTGATTTTCCTTTATCTCCTCCGTCTCTTTTGGGGAAATGAAAAAATGAAAAGTCTTGACTTTTTAAAGCTTTTCAAAAAGTTCTTCATTTTTTTTTTTGTTCGAATTTGCACAAAATGGTGTTAAGACTGTGAAGTCATAAAAATTGTTTAGAAATGCATGGCTTTGTTTTAGTGGAATAACATTGCATGCTAGCTTCCTGCAGTGGAAGCTTTGTAGGAGAGTTGAGGTTATAGAAAGTTGAATATAAAGGAATTAACCGTATGCTTCTCATGGGTAATCATAGTTCTGGCTTCTTAAAATATTTTGGCAGTGGTAGGTCTGAAACAGAATTAAACCTGGGATTGCGGATAGAACTTGATCCTATATTTATCACTTTAAAATTATATACATTTTTGCTACTGCCAAGATTGGTGCAGCTATCTCTTCCGAACTGTATTTGACCTAAATGAACAACTGAAAATTAAAGAAATTAAGGGGCTGTTCCATAATTTACCAGTATTATTGCTACTAAACATAATCTCTAAGCCAAACCACCAATGCCACCACTTATTGAACCCTTTTGATGTAGCAGATATTTTTTCAATCTTCAAATATATTTTTTAATCCTTATAACAACCCTACGAGGTGTACGTACCAGTATTATTTTCCTCCTTGTACAGATAAGCAAACCTGTGTCTGAAATCCACATATCTAGTAGAGATTGGAGCAGTGGTTTGACCCCAGATTTGACTGGTTCTCCACTGCTGCACAACAGAGCAAACATTCCCATAGCCAGTACCCTGGACCAGCATGGGCCTAAGTGCTTTGCAAGTATTGACTCAATTCTTGTATCAGTCCCACCATGTAGGTTCTAGTATTGTCCCCATTTACAAATCCTAGATTGTAAGTGATGGATCTTGGACAATTCATGCAGTTTAACTTTTTTTTTTTTTTTTTTTGCGGTATGCGGGCCTCTCACTGTTGTGGCCTCTCCCGTTGCGGAGCACAGGCTCCGGATGCGTGAGCTCAGCGGCCATGGCTCATGGGCCCAGCCGCTCCGCGGCATGTGGGATCTTCCCGGACCGGGGCACGAACCCGTGTCCCCTGCATCGGCAGGCGGACTCTCAACCACTGCGCCACCAGGGAAGCCCCAGTTTAACATTTTTAAGTTAAAAAAAATGAATAGGTTGCTAATTTAGAGACTAAGTAATTTCTGGGATTGTGAATATCAATTTTAGCAGGATGTAGACAGGTTAGTTTGTTTCTCTCTGTTCCTTGAGGCGTAATTAAAATTTTTCAATTAATTTAAAATGAAAAATATCTCTGTCTGCTCCCTGTCTGCCTTAATTCATACAAATAGTAAATCTAGGATCCATGTATACTTGGTACCATTTCACCTAGGAATATATTAATTGCAATAACAGTACCTAATTTTTTTTAGCATTTTGAAGCTTGGAGAGTGTTTCAGATCACTGACCTCATTTGATTCTCATAATAGTCTTGTGAAGGAAGGAAGCAAGTGTTCCCAGTTTTCAGATGAGGAAACTGGGAGGTGGGGAGGTTAAGTGGTGACTTCAAGTTCTCCTTGCTTGGGGATGGAGCAGGATCTGGCGCTTAGGGCTTCTGACTTCCCAGCCCTCTGCTTTTCTTGTCCGCTGCCTATGTTTTGGACCTCACTCCTGTGTGGATGCTTGCTCAGGGAAAAGGATGAACTCACAGGAGAAACACCAAAGGAACATATGAAATTAAAAAACACAAGTGATCTGTCACTTGGAATCTAATTATACTTTATCTTTGGAAAGAGAGGAAAGATTTAGGATACTGCATGTGTTATATTTAGGATACTGCGTGTGTTAACACGAATGAATGATAATTTTCCTTTTCACTAATGAGATAATGAAGAGCACACATCTTGGGTGCTCTAGAAGGGCTTATGATAATTTTGCCTTTCAGTGTTAACTTTAATTTCTAGTATTGAGCTCTTTACCCACTGAAAATAGGGTATTGATTTTAATTCAAACTCATATGGCAACAAAAATTAGAATAGTTCTGAACACTTTCTGTACTTTGGTTAAAAATCACGCAAGGATGGAGAATGAGTTTAGTAACTTGAACTCATTCAGGAGTCAGCAGAGAGAGGCCTTGAGGTTAAGTCTGACTCTCAGGATTGTTAAATACAGTTGGCCCCCTTGAACAATGGGGGTTTGAGCTATGTGGGTCCACTTACAGCAGATATTTTTTCAATAAATACTACACGATCCGTGGTTGGTTGACTCTGCAGATGCAGAACTGTGAATACTGAGGAACCTTATATATGGAGGGCCGACTAAATTATACATGGATTTTTGACTGTGGGGAGGATCTGTGCCCCCCACACCTTCCCGCCCTCTGTTGTTGAAGGGTCAACTATGCTGAATAAGGTTCCCGCCAGAGGTGGAGTCCTGGCCTCAGCCTGCTGAGTCTTCTCCCTGCTCTGAGGTGGGAGGAGCTTAGGTGCCCTTTTAAGAGCCTTTACCGCCTCTCTCTGCCTTTGGGTTTATGTTTTTGTGCGATTCTGAAAAATCATTACTTTCTTACTTTTCAAAAAGATGGATCCTTTTCTGGCTTTCTAGTAACAACAAGAACAAAAAGTAAAATCTTATTAGTTGACCTCTCTGCTTGAGAAATGTAATTAAAAAAAAATCCTTTCCCCCCAGGAATGTTAGAAATTATTAATTACTTTTTACGTTGCAACAAGATCTGTAAATTTGCGCACTTTCATGCTGCATATAAAGGATTTTCCGTTCCTCTGTTCAGATTGTCATTTTCTGATTAACACTTTTGTTGTTTGGAAACATTTCCTGCTGAGCTGTCTGTTGGCACACTTACAGTGCAGAAACACATGGGATTTTTCTTTAATGAGAACATTTCTAGTGAGTAACAGAAATCAGGCTGCTGCTGCTGTGCAGATGAGTGATGAAGTCAGTTCCTTCCCCTGGCAGCTCCAGGTGGATATAAGGGCCTACTTCCCGCTACCCACAGATGTCACGTCTGTTGTTTCAAGTGTTGTAAAGCACCTGACAAGTGTAAGGTGATATGTTTTCTTGAATCAAAGAGAATCACAACTGGCTGAAGGTAGTTCCAGCTGGTATTAGTAGCGGTAGGGTAGTTTCTATGTGTTCAGGTTCAGGACAAGCACTGTCTAAAGGAATTCAGAGCATTGGCTTAGGTGTGGCTCAAGGATTCAGGTAAGAACATCAATTGAGAAGAGGTGGTGTCGTGTTTTGGCTAAGAACATGGTTTCTGAGTTGGATTGCAGTTTGCACTCCTTATGGCATGTGATCTTGCGCAAGCTACTTAATCTCTTTGAGCTTCAGTTTCCTCATCTATAAATTGAGGTTAGGTGAGAAATGAAATGATGTATGTAAAGT